TTTTACGACAGTCAATGATTTTTGTAAACAGCTTAGAGGCTAAGTTTATTGATGATCAAGAGAAAAGAAGATGCTTATGTTCATTACAAAAATCTTACAGTGACCTATTTCTGATGCCATTTTACACTTTCTGCCATAACTACTAACATTCCCCATTTTTTATTTTGTTTATCTGGCTTTTAAAGGAGTAGGCCCAAATAATTGAATTCATATGAAGGAGATTCTAATGAAAACTTACATATAAAAACCTGAGACAATTGGGAAAAATACCAAGTTTTAAACTGTTCTTTATAAAAATAATGAGATGTGGTATGATTGCCAATGAGACAACTATCCACCAGAGTTCAAATGACGTGGATAGTCAGCTTTAAATTCAAGGCCCAGATTTTCAAAATCACACATAATATTAGCAATTCATCAAATAACGCTGAAGCCATCCATAAACAAAACCTTGTCAAATGTTTAACTTTTCGCCTGAAAACATAAAAGTCACACAAAAAAATCCCCAAAGAAACCAAAAACAAGATAAAAAAATCCCGAACTTGTTCAATTCTCATATCTATCTATAAAACAAGAACAAACATGTGGACCGTGACATAGAAAAAAAAAACCATTGTAACACACACATATATATATGACAATTAGTCTTTGTATCTTAACAGGTGAATCCTATATAATCAAATTACAGAATTTTTTACTGTATAAATACCTAACATCACTTTAAGTATATATCATTCACTCTTCATAGAGTAAAAGTTATCATAATTACATCATAAACAAGAATCAAGTTTCAGTTCAATTTCATTTTTTGTATTATGAATACATAGTTCTCTCTTCATAGAGTATATTCAGTTACCATAATTTCGTATCTATAATAGTTTCACATTATTAAATATGTATCAATAACTATACCAACAGCGTTTAATACCTTTAGATCCCTATTTGATAAAGAAATATCAACATATTGATATCCTGAAATATAGTATTAAAGCTTATACAATAGGACTTTATAAAATCTCCTTATAAATTCAATGGTATGCAAGTGTCTAGTCTAAAGTTTACATATAACATGCATTCAACTTTGGTCCATTTCAGTCATAATAAATAAAAGCTTAACATATTTTTGAAGAGTTTACAGTATGTGTCTACCATGTAAAGCTTAAATGGACCAGGTGGTTCGATTCTTTAAAATTTACTAAAATCATAATCCTTTACAAAAACACAGACTAAAAATTCTGAAAACATTTTCAAATGAAGTCGTCTAGTTGACTAATACATTGATAATTTCGTTATATGTAGATTTCAGTGATGTCAAGCAGGGAAAACCATTTTGTAACAAATACATTTCATGCCAGTTTCTATATCCGTCAAATCAACAGATCTGTCTCCTGAAACGTGCATAACAGAAACTTAACAAATGAATCTAGTTTATCGGCAGGGTACATTCCGCATGGCTTGGGAATCAAGCTGACATTCAAAGTAAATTATTCAACATTACAAAAAGCTGGGGCAGGAAACAGATCATTACGTTTCAAAAATTTCAATTGACAATTTAGAGCATATAGGAAATGCTAACGTAATTTACAAATTGACAATCTGTTTGACATTTAGATAAGGCGCAATTACAATTTTAATGTTTATCTACTCTCTTTGAATGCACCTACTCACAGAATTATGTCTGTTGTTTTTTTCCAAATAGGGTGAAAAATCTTTGAAAATATGAATATAAGGAGATGGGGGAGTGCATGTACACAATGAAACAGCAAGCCAACAATAAAAAAACCATTCAGGACATCTTATGTACATGAAGTAAAGTCAGGAATTGTTGCTCATCAGATACACTATGAAAGGTCTTAAATATTTGTTATCAAAGTTTAAATGGCATATCTTGTTGAAGAATGTGAGTTAAAAGACCCCCAACTTTGTAAATCCCTTAAAAAAGACATTAAAAAGGGTTTTATCTTCTTCTTTGATAAGCAGAAGGCATTTTTATGAGTACCAACAATGGCAGGTTTGTTTAAAGCCAGAATTACATATCAGGTTGTGGTAAAAGCAGGTTTCATATTCGTATCTCATAATGGTATCTTTTCCTGACTATGTATATGATATTTGCCACTGGACATCATCCCTAAAAGCAATTTAAACACTAAAGAAAGGATGTACAGATTTCAGACTGTAACATTTAATTTTTAAATTTCTCTTTTATTTTTTACTCTGATAGAGTCTGTAACTATTGGTATGATTTTGATACAGAAATAAAAGATTCACATCACCAGCTTTTATGCCATAATTTCTAAAATCTAACTGAATATATAAGATTTAAGGTGATTCAGTCATGAATTTGACACTGTGATCAAAGTGTGTTTAAATGTGTTTTTATGCGACACCACCGAGAGTTCAAAAAGTCAGTAATTGTTTGTAAGTGTGATTATTGTTAGATTGTTATTAGACACTTCTATTTCTGATCGTAATATAACTAATCAAACTGTACCGAGTTGTTCTTGGCATCAAGTTCACTGAACGCTCATGGTATATTTACAACAGTGATCAAACAATGTCCCTTTCAACTGAAAATGTTTATTTTAAAATTTAGTCTTTCTTTACCCTTTAAAATCAAACAAAAATTGAAAAGGTAAATTATTTTCAGACTTTTATAATGAAACAGCTGCTTTTAAACCAATTAGCTTAGTTCTGTTGATTGATTTTTGTTTACTTTACTTCCAGCGGAAAATAGTTCCTCAGAAAAGAGGGTCAAAAGATTCAAATGAATAATTTGTACAACTTTAGAAAAAAAAACCCAGAGAAGACTATCTTTAGAATGTTGACATGCAAGCTAACGTTATTTTAAATAATTATGGAATAAGTATTGTGTACAAGTTTCATAACATTTGGTTGAGGCAAACTAAAGTTGGAGAATGGAAACCAATTTCGGAACGTACATACAGACAAGGTTAAAACCTAAGTAATGCCCCCTCCACTACGGCAGGGGCATAAAAATTTGGATAAAATCAAAATAAACCAATACTCACTTGAAAGAATTATAGTCAACAGTACAAGAAATATCTCTACATCATAGAATGAGGAACTACCAAATTTACTACCTCAATAAATAAAAGATACAATTGTATATATCAATATATATATATAAGCCTCAGATTTGTGTCAGGGGGAATACCCTGGTTTAATTCAAAAGGAACTAGGATTAAGTATTTGAAACTTCATCTGACCTTTATATTTAGGACGAATGCTCAAGTCATCAATATGGACAATTATTTACGACAAATTACATATCATAGTACAATTTCCCGACACCTAAGAAACTTAAATGTTATTTTGCTTACATAACATTGACAGAGACGAATTTTAATACCATAATCTTTTTTCAAGTGTTAGACATGAAGTTAGTTAATGCTCTTTAATAAATATCGTAAAGCATACATGCATGAAGTAATTCATTTGTTTACTTATTAAATGTCTTTGTTAGGTAAGCTTATTTTCAATAAAAAGTACACATTATTACTTTGATTTATGCCGCTTCAAATCTTTTCTTAATCATACATAATATCAGCTAAGAGTATGTATATAATACTATAATAGTAAATAGCCTTGTAACATTAAACAACAGTTTTATGCATTTTCCCATAAAAATTTTACAATCTCGTATATTACTGTTTACATATGGCACAAACAAATTATATCAAAATAAGGATATGTGGTATGATTGGCAATGAAACAACTTAATCCATCAAAGACCAAAGGACAAGGATGTCACTAACTTCAGGTCACCTTACTGCCATCAACAATGAGCAAAAACCATACATTTTACCTGAGGGCACATCTAAATAAAAATAATGACACATATAACTTGTTACATGAAGATTTTCCGACAAACAATATTTTAGAGTTCATTGCCTTTTTCCTTCTAAATTTGGTTCAATGATTGTGATTAAAAGGGGGAGGGTTGAGAACTCAAATAGAGTTTCATATGCCTGTTACGACGTATAGTCAGTGGTTGTCAAACCTTACAGTTTTGTTAATTAGGGAATTTAATGTTGATGACAGATCTGTTATAGTTTCTAAAGAATAAATTCACAGCCTTTTTAGACATGGGACGATTAATGCTTATAATGTATAAACACCTGTCCATGATGTCTTTTGGTTTTTTGTGTCAATGAGTTGTTGTCTCATTGATGCATACTCTCATCCTCTTTGATTCATATCCATTTCACAATTTCCTGTAACTATTAGCAACACAGCCTATGCTTTTAGGAACCTTGTCAGACAATAGGAACCTGACTTAAGAGGATACTGAACTGTTACATAGGCTATAATTTGTCCATTCCTTCTGCTTATAGTAGTAATAGGATAACAGTAGATTATACTTGCACTAAATATTCAATTACACGGTATGCATACATGCAGAAGTATATAGGTACACCTTTGTATTTAGTAAACACTTAATTATTCCAGGTAAATATTAAACATTTAAACATAAGACATTATTCATCAAAATGATTACATAAAATTCTAATTTCACCTGAACCACAAAAAGTCTGACCGATTTCTGAATATGAGTTAAGTTCTAATTTACGTCACTATATAAATTACAAATTTCAAAACATGTTTATCAATAAAGTCAGAAAAAAACAATATCTTAAGTTGAACTTATAAGGTTTCTGTATTTGTGAAAACAAATCAACTTCCAGACATAGAATTCTACAAAGCTTAGCAGCGTGACATAAAATAACATGATTTGTGCATTATTTGTTCAGACGTAATATTGTAAAAAGTTCACATCTGATGAAAAAGTCTGATTATAAGCAAAAACTTTTTTTTCCATGATGAATAGTTTCTATGAATCCATTTAAACATTTTAACATGATTTTACTTTTTACATATATTTTAAAAACAAAAAATATTCAAATTGGTATAAGTACATATCAACAAATATAATCAAGTGCAAATCAAAATATTCTCAGAATCAAATTCATACAAATTACCTTTACGAATTAGTTCTCAATAATCTTCCTCTGTCGCTACAGCTTGCTTCCGGTGACCTGGAAAAAAGTCCAAACAACTTTTAGAAGTGTAAAATACAACAAAAATTATGAATGTTTAAACGTCTAACACTGAACAATCTCTGTTTGTCATGTAAATATCCGAATTCATCAAAACATATCAGTTACGTTGAAAGAAGTTCATAAAATCTTCATGTATTTCTCGAAGCATACAAAGGTATTCAAGTCAATATTGTGAACACACTGTTTAAATTCAAGTTAAAGATATTGTATGAAAAGCTCGGCTCATTCAGGTGTATAAGTTATATATGCTTTATACGATCATATAAACATTTAATCTTGATAATGGGAACACGTCAAATATATTTTTACATGCACAATTTATGTATTGTTTGACTATGTAAAATTTGTGGCTATAGTAAAAACCTGGTCAAGGAAATCGGCAAACAATTCCTAAAGAAAGAGTTCAATGAGAATCTGATAAATATGTCAAATTGTTAATGAAAAACTGTACCATAGGTTTGTTTTGTTTGTATAGAAAGTTTACAATAGGTTGTGCTAGGTGTTACCAGACGGTGAGAACAACTTTCACAATGAAGTCGCTGTCCCTATTTTAGTACAGTGTACTACAAATAAACAAGTTGCATAGTATTACATATGATCATAACAAATGTGATTGTATGCACATGAACTTGTGCAAAACAAGATTGAATATTGTTTAAATCACAATACAGCCTTATACATATGTGCACAGAGTCATACCATAACTGTCAACACAACAGAGTCTGGTCGTTCAGTCTCCATTTCTGTATCGTTTAATTTCTTAGGCCATTTTTTTCTATTCTTTATATTTTATCCATTATTCTCATCTTTAATATTTAAGCATCCATTATTTTCTATCATTTATTTTTTTTGCCCATTTTTCTGTATTGTTTCTTTGGTTTTTTTTTGCCCCATTTTAATTCTATATTCTATAAACCCAATATAGACCCCAAGATTTCTCAAAGCGGAAAAATAATGTTTGATATTTGTGAATCCACTATAAGTACTTTGAAAACTCTAAAAGGCCTACTTAAAGCTCCTAGATCTTTTAAACCAGATAATTTTCTGAAAAAAAAACTAATTCTGTGATTATTTTTCAATGTTTTATAGCAGTCCTTACTGTAACAGTTATATGGCTTATGGATCAAGAGCTACTCAGCAGACGGCCAAGCACCTAACCAATATAGCAGAGGGAATGGTAATATTGTAATTAAGACTGAAATTATAAATTCTAGATATTTCTAAAAATGTAAAGTTGTCATTGGGAGGGGGAAATTGCAATAGGATTTTTAAAACAAAATTTGTGAAGCACCTCTCCACTGAGGCAATAGAGCTTTTTAGTTTAAATGGTGTGTAATTATACTGACTGAGTTCAACAGGTCCTAATATCTTCTCTAAGTGCAGTCGTTCTTAATTCAGTTAGTTAATGTGAATTAGCATTAAGTATTTTTGAAAAGCAAAGAAGAATGCATCATGAGAAGACTGATCCACAAACAAGTAAAAAAAAAACAGATCCACTTTTTCCAACTCTAAAAACAAGTGCTGTTCATGCAAACTAATATTTTTTTTTTCTTTTTCAGACCAACAGCTCAGGTTGATAACATTAAAGGAGCTATACATGTACAGTCATGACAAATTAGATTAAAATGTTCCCCTTATCATATATTCATATCATAAAAACATGCTAGTTTATGTGAACTGACAGCTAGATATCAAAATTTTAAACAATATTAGCCGATTTAAATCAAAGTACACCGAAGGCTATGCTTAGTTTTCATTTAATATGGAGATTTAAACTTTAATGAATTGACTTACGACCAACTTAAAAGTGAAAGCCGGTGACTTATCATATTCACAAAATAAATATTGAACAAATTCACCAATAATGGTAGTTTCATAAAATAAATTTAATAAATATTCCGATCCTTATGTTAAATAAACCTAAGTCCACTTAAAAATTAAGTTGAAGGAGATGGACGTGACCTACAAAAAAAAACAAGATGTCTTGAGATTGAAAAAAAATAAAAATATACTGGCTGAGAATTGAACAAAGTCATGTTTCAAGTCCAATTTTTTAGGCCACATTTTGACTTTCCTGGCCCTATTAGTATCAACTGGTTCCTTCCACCTGTAAAAGATTGGATTCTAGCCTAAGGAGCAGTTATGATACCTAACAAACTTTGAATTGCCATTCCTTTTGGATAACTAGGAGTCACAAATGGATGTCCTGCAGGAAAATGTTCCTAAAATTCTTTCACTGCATTAAGCAAGAGTGGCCCAACAAAGTAATGAGAATCAGATGGGTGTAGTTTTTAATTTAAACAAAAGAAACTCTAGTATTTCAACATTCAGCCCCATTCTTCTATTTAGTCAGACGTCAGTCGCTACCCTGATATACCCTATCTTTTGTTTTATTTTTCGGGTAATTTATGACGGATAGCGTTTGACGTCTTTAGCCGAACAGTTTTATCATATTCACACAATTCAATTTATTGTGTGCTGGTCCATATTCTGGACGCCAGTCTTTGCTCCTTCCTAATACACTGAACTAGTATACATATTTGTTTAGGGGCCACCTGAAGGACGCCTCCGGGTGCGGGAGTTTCTCGCTGCATTGAAGACCCATTGGTGGCCTTCGGCTGTTGTCTGCTCTATGGTCGTGTTTTTTGTCTCTTTGACACATTCCCCATTTCCATTCTCAATTTTATCTTTCAAGTTTTGATAGTATGTAAATATGGTTTTAGATTAAAATGGTTCCAGCAGAAGAAATATAATCTTAATTTTCTCTGTCTGTGTTGATATTATCAGCTGAACTATGAAAATTCCCATATAAAAATATATATCTCTATATACTTTCAATAACTTAAAAACTACCATTTATAGATTCTAATTATTTTTCATTAGTTGATGACCTATATATAAGGGAAATGATCAGAACACCCACAAAAATATATATAAATTTGTTTGCCTATATCTATAATCAGACATCATATATAGATATCAATAATTTTTTCATTAGTAAATGACCTACTTACAAGGTAAATGATCTAAAAATTCTTTTAAAAATTAATGAATAGATAGGTCAGCGAACAGTTGTAGCCTATTAAATCTCCACAAAAGAAATATTAAATTGGAATGAACATGGTATGTCAATCACACTACTTTAATAATCTTCTGGCGCTGAAAGATTACACTGCCTCAAATGATTGAAAATATAATTAAATATATAAAACGCCTTCAAAGTCTTCTCAACTCAAAGCAATTATTTGAGATTTCTGACTTATTTTCTTGACACTTCAAACACCTGACAGATGAAAAAGGAGTAGACAAAATCATAATAGCTTAAAAGCAAAGATGCCAAACTTGAGATAAATGTCTAAGATCTTACTATTACGTACTGTTCAGTTGTATCTGCTCCTTTTTTCTTATACCAGTACTCTTTAACAGGCAATTTTCTTCTAATAAACTTACAGGCAGTTAGTGCACCATGTTGTAAAGGTCAGTCTAGCACCTAAGAACCTCCACAATTTTAGATACAAATGAATAAAAGGAGATGTGGGGGTTTATTTCAAGGAGACAGCAGTCCAACAACACAAATATATAATAAAAGACAGGTGAATGGTTACCTTACCTTTCTTCTTGGGTTGCTTTTTCCCACTTATCTAATATGATTTGAAGAAGAGCAACAAAAAAGCTGTTCATTTTTCAATATTTAATGAGATTGTCTCCTGCAAATTGACCCAAATTTAACTATATCCAATTTACAACTGAGGTGGTACTTAAGAGTCATCATTTGGCCCATTAATTTGCAAACCAATAATTAAAAATACCATATCAAAGAATGCTCACATTTACTGAAAGGAAACTCAAAGCAATTAATCTGCTGATATGAAACATGCTGTCCAACACTCTCTACAGCGAAGTTACATAAAGTACAGGAAGACATGATCTTTTGCAGTGCCCTTCACAAACCTTTAAAGAAGATCAATGCAGAAAAACAAAGAAACATTTTAGTCTTTCTGCAAACTATAAATTAGTGAACTGAAGTTCATCCCCTAAAAAAAACCAGAGTCAATGATTGAACAGCAATGGTATAATTATAACTGCTGTATTAATAAGTCTTATAACTTTGAAGAAAGGTTTAAATCTATGATTTTTTTTGTATTTTAACTGCTTTATTATTCTCTTTAATAGCTTAACAAGATCAGCTATCAATAATTTACATCTAGTCTATACAGTCATAAAGGAACGTAGGAACGTACAAAAAATGCATACATGCCATATTTAGAAAACCACAGTATTCAGAAATAATTCTGATAAAATATTCCCAGTCACAATGTCACAGGCAGCCAACAAGGCTCTCCATCTCTGTAACAGAGAAGTATTAAAGATCATTAAAACCACAGTATAGAAATGAAAACAATTCAAATTGAACATTTTCTTTCAGTCGTAATTGGACAAATGTCTTTCATCCTTTGAGATTTGAATGGAAGAAGATTTAGAGTATATGTCAATAAGACAGCAACCACATGACAAAAAAAAAACAACTAAAAGATAGATAAATATCTATCTTCTTGCTCTCTCTCCGTAGGTTGTTTTCTCCCACTAATGTCTTAATAAATCGTTTTATTATATACTTAGTAGTAAATACAGATAAATTGTATGTGTAATACAATCATTGGCAAGCGTGCTGTATCAGCCACCCGTAATGATGTCGATATCAGCACGGTTGCAAAGGCTTTATCACACCTTTAATCTGTATGACGTCATGTCATCGATTGCAGTCACTGTTGCAAAGTCTTTATCAAACCTCTAATCTGTATGACGTCATGTCAAACCTGTTATATGTATGACGTCATTTCAAACCTCCTTATCTGTATGACGTCATGTCACATAAAAAATTCTACGTGAGGTATATGTATATAATAAAGTGTATATGATATGGCTTTTTCAATATCACACACCGTATCAACCCTCAACCAATATAATCCCTCGAGCAGAGCTCTTGGAATTATATTGGTGTGTCGGGTTGATACGGATGTGATATTGAATAAACAGCTGCGCCATGAGCGCATGATACGCCCGTCGTCTTGTGTGTTAATTTTTATGCAATAAGCATAAATAGTTTCTGACATACGGCGTGACATGCGAAAACCCCCTTTCTTTTTTACAAAAAACTCAATATCTCTAAATTAAATTTTGAATCAAAACCAAAAAGTATACAGATC